CCAGCCGTCCCTGCGCTCGCAGCAGCCCAAAGAGCTGGGGCTGGTTTAGCCATTGCTCCCCGGGGTGGGCAGTGGTCCCGGCGCAGCATCACCCATCGGGCATCGGGGTGTTTGTGTTGCTGAGGAGCGGGTTTCGTGTCCATTGGTCTATAACGTTTCTTATCTGCAATTAGCTCATTTGCCGCAGGTATCCGGGGCGGCGTTTTTACGCTCGTATTTGCCAGACTGAACATTCGCCTTCGCAACTGCCTCTTCAGGTCGCTGGTGGCTCAGGAGATGAGTTTCTTTGATGAGAACCGCACAGGTTGGTTCCTCTTGCCCCTGGATTTGCTCTAACCCTTCTATCCCAGCCCGATAATTTTTTCCCCTTGGCTCGCCCTACCGGCACGCAGCAGATTGGGGGCACTCAGAGTCGGCTCGTGTTTAGAAACAGCAGCTGAAAGCTCTTCCCTTGCGGGTGCCTCCCACCATGGGGTCAGGACAGCATTGCCCAGCTCCCTGGGGATGTCCCATTGCCACCAAACAGCCAGACATCCAGAAGCCCTGGGGCTGATGCGCTCATCTCTGATCATCCCCAAAAAAACCCCACTTTTCTCCTCCCACACCTCCCATCAGTGCCTGCTGCTCCATCACCCTCCAGCTCTGCTCCGGGCACGGGAAGCCTCAGACGTGTGAAGCTTTCTGGGCATGCTTGTGGCTTTCCCCACTTGCCATTTGGTCCCGTCCCAGTTCATCCCACTCTGGTGTGCTCCCAGCCTGCTCTTAACTTTTCCCACGTTTAATTTCTTCTTGGCGATATTTTTAGTTTTGAGGCTGTTGCCGTATTTAGCAATGGCTGCGCGGTGCCCTGGTAGCTGAGGACACCGAAGACGTGGTTGTAAGTGGGATCTGGGTAACCCTGGACTGACGCTTACACCAAAGCCTGGGAGTTCAGCTGGACTCAAGCACAGACCAAGTGGACCTCTGGACTCATGTCCTCAGGGTCCCTTGGGTTGGCTCCAGGCTGCGGGGCACAGGCTGAACCCCAGCAGCCCTCCCCAAAACCTCCTCATGCTCTGCAGGGCGTGCTGTGCCCGGCCCCTGTGCCGTGACGGCAGGGAAAGGGGCCAGTGGTCCCTGGTGAGCTCCGGGAGGGCTCCTGGTGGCATTTAGAAATTAACTCGGGGTTGGGCTGACAGCTCTGGGGGTGCATTCAGCAGCCCAGCAAGCCCTCCACCCACACACCCGCTGCCCGTCTGCATGCCCACGGATGCCCACTGGGGTAGGGTGCTGCTGCTGTCCCCATTGCTGTCCTGCAGCCATCCTTGGTGACCCAGGGATGTGGCTTGTTCCTTCAAGTGCATTTCACCTCCCTTGTGCTTGCTGCAATTCCAGCTCCTCTGTTTCGCTTCACATCCACAGCAGTGGAGAGTCACCCTGCTTCCATGCCACCCTCCAGACCCCCAGCGAGGGGCTGGGTTGAGTGAGGAGCTCCATCTGTCCCCTGCCATGGGACATAGACGTAGCCAGGTAGTGACCTGCCATGGTGATGTGTCCCCGCTTTCCCCTTCCCCAACCCCTCGTTGCCACAGGGGACGTCATCTCCCGCCTGACGTCGGACACAACCATCGTGAGCGACCTGGTCTCCCAGAACATCAACATCTTCCTGCGCAACCTGGTGAAGGCCACGGGGGTGATCTTCTTCATGTTCAGCCTCTCCTGGAAGCTCTCGCTCGTCACCTTCATGGGCTTCCCCATCATCATGCTGGTGTCTGACATCTACGGGAAGTACTACAAGGTAAGCCGGAGCAGCTGGCATGGCCATGGTGTGACACAACGTTGGGCTGTTCCGCTTGGGAAGCCATCATGGAGGTTGTGGGTGGCCTTGGAGCTGGTGGGACTGATGCTCAGGTGCTTTGCTGCCGGCAGTGGGGCAGGAAGGTGGTGTTAAACCCGTATGGGCAGACAGACGTAGCCTCGACGTTTGCCTGGCTTCATGCTCAGGAGTGAAGCATCTCAGGTCTGACAGTGGAAGAAGCTTGGCTGTGGGATGTCGCGTATGCTCCTGCCTGTTCTTGTGCAATCTGTCCTCTCCCTTTGGAGTGACTTGGGTGGGCGTTAAACCCGGTGCTGAGCTCCTTCCCGCCACCTGGGGCTAGCGTGGGCCAAGGGCCATCCCGTGTGGCTAATACCCGGTCCCATGGACCACACAAGTCCTGCAGTGCTGCTCCCCACATTGGTTATTGGAGCTTTCCACTGTGCTGGGGACGTGGAGTGCAGGGGTGCTGCCAAAGCGGGTCCTCGGTGCTGTGTCCCGCGGCCGTGGCTCCTTCTGCAGCTCATGGGAGGAGTGGAGCTGCCCTTGGTCTCCAGACCTGTCCTTGACTTGGAAACTCCTGGAAGGGCTCCTGTGCCAGGCTGACCCTGTCCCATCAGGGCACTGGCTCTTCCCAAGTGACCCTGGGCATGGCACGTCACCTCCTGCAGCCCAGGTCCCTCTTTGGGGACAGCACAACACGTCCCACGCTGTCCCAAGGTGTGGGATGTATCCCAGTACTCACCCTTGTCACCCATGACCTTGGGAAATGTCACCGTGCCTTCTTTTCCCGAGCCCAGCAGAGCCCGGGGTGTGCAGGGAGATGTGCCACAG